AAACAGGGGTGGGCAAACTTTGGCCTGAGGGCCACATTGGGTTTCGTAAATTGAATGGAGGGCCAGTTGGGGAGGGAGTTGTGGCCCAACCCCCACCTCCTATCTGCCCCCCATCCCTGTTCTCTGGGACTCCTGCCCCATCCACACACCCCTGCTCCCTGTCTGCCCCGTCACCCCATCCAAACCCTCCTTTCATTCCTGACGCCCCCCTGCCCCATCCAACCCCATTCCCAACCTCTATCCACACACCCCCAAACCCCCTGGCCCCTACTGCGCTGCCTGGAGCACTGGTGGCTGGAAGTGCTACAGCTGCACCACTGTGGCCATGCAGCACAGAGGTAGGCCGGGCTCTGCAGCTGCGCTGCCCCAGGAACTCACAGCCCCAGTGCCTGGAGCACTGCACCAGGGCGAACTGAGGCTGCAGGGGAGGGGCCAGGGGCTAGCCTGCCAGGCCAGGAGCTCAGGCAGGACGGTCCCGTGGGCCGTAGTTTGCCCACCTCTGTTCTCAACCCACTTTTTATATTCTGAAATTAATTAGGGAATAGGGCTGTTGAGTTTCTAGGAACCATATGGGAATCCATAAATCGGACAAATGGAGACAAACAGATCACAAGAAAAGTTTGATGTTGAGGATTTTCACTGTAAGTGGCAGTGACTTTTATTTTAAGCCTGTTCTTTACATTTAAAAAAAACTTTACAAAAAATTTAATAGTAAGGCAATTTTTCAGATGTCAGTCACTGTGAACCAGATAGTTGTCATTCATATTTAATACTAAACTGCATTCACACAGGAGCCAAACTCTTGATCTGAAAGCCCTTTTAGAAAGTTAATGGATAAGGCAGCAAGCAACAGTACTTTTACACAGTGTTAAATGTATGAATGCTTCAAGCAGGGGAGATGAAATATGGGTCTTCATCTACAACAATTAAAGTAAATAGTTTCTTTTCCTACTAACCAGACTTGGAAGAATTCAGTTTTTAAATGATTTTCAACACATTTAACCAGTCTTAGATATAACTTTATCCAATGGAACATTTTCACTAGTGGGAAACAAATTTCATTTAGTGAAAATGGACAAAAGAAAAAGCTATCATATGAATTTATTTCTGGATCTTAAGCATCATGCAATTGAAACAACACTACTTAGAAACTTCTCTAAAATTCTATGAACATTAGAAACGCTTATTGATGGGAGGGTGCAGAAGGAGAGACTATTTTCTGACCTTACCAACTGAAGTTTAATAGGCTCCAAAACATGGTTTCCCACCTCAAATCTCTTAAGGGAGGGAGTAGTATGTTTGTCTTTGCTTGAATTGAGTTGGGAGTTAGAGGTTGGTACGCAATACCCGCATCTTCTCACTACTGCTGACTGAAAGTAAAGGGTGGGTTGGAGCATAGCATGCTTTCTTCCAGTTTGAGCAACAGACCTTTCAAGCAAGTATACAGCAGTGACTTAGCTGACCATTGATTGAGATTTCCCCTTTTAAGAAATTAAACCGAGTTTAAAAAGAGGCACTGAAATGTAAGAGAAGAGTGGGTTTTTTTCTTAGCAAAAAAACCCAGACTATTAGCTGCCACACCATTACTGGGGTGTCTCTAACTAGAGAAATTGTTTGATTACAGAGAGGAGGTATTGGAAATGGAGGTGTTTTGCCTTTTTGTGCCTGACAACTGTCTATCAAGCTCTCTTAGCCATGTCCACTCCATTTTTCTAAAAATTGCAGGACTAAACTTCAGCCCTAGTTACCAAAAGAGAGCATATGAAAGGAATGAATGAAGAGCAGGATGGAGAAAAGAAAAAAAACGAGTGACAAACTTAAATGAGGGGGATTTACATCACAATTCACAAGAGGAAAGGGGGTGGGGGGGGAGATGAAAAATTTGTCAAAGGGTCAAAATTCAGAGAACAAGAACTCTGTTCTGTTGGAGCATATTTCTTTGCTAGATTTTATTTATGCCATACATTACTTGATTTAACTTTTTTATAATAATCCTTCTGAAGATGTGAGTCCTCTGTAGTACCTTTAAATTGCATCCCTGTTGCCAAAGTATTTGTATAGGTTAATAGTTGGATTCTCATACCTTTTGGGTTCAATCTTCAAGTTTTCACTCATGTAGAAAATCCAATTATCTAAAATGGGGTTTGCCCATACACTATTAAAAATATTCAGCATTTCATAATCCAAGATTAGACTGACAGAAGGTGGCCTGCTAGGTTCTGGTGTGGCTCACTTTTACCTTCAGCTACATCCTGTGTGAATTCAGTCCAGAGTTGGTGAAAAGCCAGTCACAGTTATGGCATGTATTCAATGTACACAACATATCAAAACATACACAAAATAAAAAGCATTTTAAAAGAGTGAAGATTATAAATAGATTGCCTTTGTCACAAAAGATTTCAGCATTGGAAAATTTGGCTTTTCACAAGTAAATCTTCGAGGCTTGCGCATTACCTCATAACCAATTTGAAATTCCAGTCTCCTAAGGCACAATGCTCTGTTTAATCAAAGATGGTACAGTCCCCATCCCACTGTCCAAGAAATGGATGTAAAGGTTTATTACTATGACACAGAAAAGCAGCTTTTTTTTAAATGGACAAACTAAGTCATAAAATCAAAACTAGACCTGGAAAGCAGGTCATTTCTGTCAGGCTGTTCTGAGGCACACAGGTATCCGACACGTACTTTATATGATTGCAGGCTCACATTCTCTGGGTTACAAGTCAAATTCACTTTAGAGGCATGAGAGAGAATTTACAAGTCCGTTAAGTCTGGGCTTGTGTAGTATTGAAAAAACAGGCTAGGATAAACACAAAGGTAACCTGTCACACAGAGAAACACAAACCACGCCCACTGTTCAATTGTAGTGGTGAGGCACGCTACAACAAAGAGTTGCGATTGGGAGCTGGAGACAAGGATTGGTTTAATGCATCTCTCCAAACAAGAAGTCTGTGCTTGAAATTAGATTGTTCATGTTTTTTTACCACTGGTAAACTCAAGCTTGTGAGGACTAACACAAGTCACATACTGGCTTTCTCTGCTGATCTGAGATTCTACAGAGTAAAAGGTACTATAAATCACAAGTTATCCCTGTTATTTCGGACTCAACTATATTTTGCCCTTCTAGCCTGAAAAACTTGAAAAATCTCAATATATTCTCTCTATATAAAACAGGGATATCGTAGAGTGAACTAAAACAATGTAGATGTTTCTTCACAGACAATACTGGATGTGATTGGAGACTGTACCTGTAGTGGAGTGTTAGTAAATTGTAAAAACTGTAGAAAGTTAAATGGGGGAGACATTTTACACAAACTCGAGTATAGGACAGGGAAAAGTCTGCATCATTCCAACTCTGATAAAGTGCACGGTCTTCGGAATTCCTGACCTCGTTCGTGGATCCATTTATTGGATACTATGAGAGACAAAAATAGTATTGGTCACTACTTCTATTTAAACTAAATACACATTATCAGCACATGCATCAGAAAAGCTTTATTCCCCAAATATAAATGTCAAAGCAATAGCCTGAAACTTGACATACTAAGCCTAAGAAGAAAACTCCACAATATTTGCAAATTGGGAAAATCTTAGTATGAAGTAGCTAGGTATGTACTAGCTCACTTCTTTTGAAAAGAGCTGGTGGCTGTACTGTATCCTACCACAAGCAGTGAAGTAAAAAAAAAAATTTAAAATCAGACGTTTGGCAGAGTAGGGATACTTACCCCACTTGTTTCCAACTAGTACTGGGCAGGCTGCATGCCTTGTGCTGTAATCTCCTTCTCCACTTGGAAAAAGATTGTACCAAAATACAGCTGTTCCCTGGAAATTTCAATACAAACATTACATTTTTTTCTATGCAACACAAAGTTTACTTCTACCAGGGTTAATAATCAATGACTTTAAAATATGATGCATTTAAATAGGTTAATTTTTAAATGAATGTATTTAAAATTAAACTTGGCAACCTGTTAAAGCCTAAACTTAACATTATTTGTATTCAATTTAAAATTAAAAAAAGTGTTTTCTGCCAAGTTCTAAAGAAAAAAGCTGCAGGAAGTCACTGGCTAAGCACCTGGAACCTGCATTTGCTGCAGTGCTACACCAGCTTTTGACAGCAGCAGCCTCTTCTGCAGATGCAGAGAAAATATTTTCTTCATTTCAGGTTTCTTCAACTAGTTCATTCAAAGTTAAGAAACTGATTGGAAGAGAGAGAGAGAGAGAGAGAGAGAAGCTTTCTTGCTTTTTCAATTTCCAATCTATGAATAAAAACTTGTCTACAGTGTGGAATAATCCGCATTATGGGAAGGTGTGATTCCTAAAGTGCTGTTTGTTAAAGTGCTCTAGGGGACCTTTAGTATGCACCAGTGTCTATACGTACCAATTAATGTGCAACACTGCAGGTGGGGGGGGGGATTTCTAAAGCAGAGTAACAAAGTGCAAATTACACCACCACATAGGCAATCCCTAGGTGTGAACTGATGAATCTATTAAAACCATGAAGGGCATGGTGACAAACTATCAGTTCAAATTCACTAACCATAGATCCATCTTTTGTTTTAATAAATCCAAAACATTTGACTCTTTCATGTGTCCAGAATGCAAGATTTATTTAAATGGCAACAATCTTTGTTACTGCAGAGTTTAGATTTCCAGTGACACCTCATGTCCTTCCAGAAGTTTAGGTTAAGCAAGACTCAAACTTCAGAAAACTAGGAAATGCAGCGTTAAGGTAAACTGCCCACATAACCTTAACATTGCCCTCTTTGAGTAATGCCCCATAACCCACATACTCTGCCTTTTCACTGTAAATTAAAGGAGCGTCTTGTGCTTGCCCTACACTCAGTCTACTCTCCTGACAGCACACCACACTTGTAAAATTTAACAGCTGCTTCACACTTACTCACAGGATACCACCTAAACCTATACTTTCCCTTACCCATCTACAAACTGTTCTCATATCCCACCTCGCTATTGGCAATTCATGTGGCAAGACCCTCCTCTTCCCCTCCTGAAACTTGCTCCTGAGACAACCTACACAATTTTGTAATAAAATGATCCACAGTGGCTCCCATCCGAAGAAGTGAGGTTTTTACTCACGAAAGCTTATGCCCAAATAAATCTGTTAGTCTTTAAGGTGCCACCAGACTCCTTGTTGTTTTTGTAGATACAGACTAACACGGCTACCTCCTGATACAGTACACATGATGTTTGTTTTCCCTTCCTCGGACATAGGAGGTGGGGTGCAAATCCTGAACTTCTCATATACTCAGAGTTCTGTGACACCTCTCAAAACTCTTTCTTCTCTGCTCACAAACAAATCTCTACCCCCTGCTGCCTCCGCCATTAAAACCATTTAGTACAGTTAAAACACAGACGGTTGAATGCAGCTGCAGTGCATGTGGATAATTCCCAGTGGCTACTGTAAGCTCCAGGGGAGCAGAGGTAAGGTTATGTGGGCATTTATCTTAACTCTGTATTTCCTGAAGTTTGAGTTTTGCTGAACTTGATGTTCTGGAAAGGCACTAGCTGTCACTGGGAAACCAGAACTGTGTTAATTTTTTTTGTCATTTGATTTCCTAGTTACTGCTCTATTGGGGGGTTGGTTTCTTTTAAACAAAGAAAACTTGTTGGTAGAAGTGAGTGGTCATTGTGGCAACTGAACATTAGAATGCAAGCCAAGTGGCCTATCAATCCTAGCAATATCTTTCCCCCCCGACTTCCCGGCTCAGCTTCACTAAACAGCCCTATCCCTCCCAGCTGGCCCCCACCACACCATTTTGTCCAGGCTTGGAAGGGCATGACCCTGTGTGTGGTAGTATAGCCAGGTTGCCAAGTGGCCCTGGACTTGGAATCCAGCTCTCTCCCTACAGATGATCAGAGAACCTAAAAAGATCTTTTTAAGAGCCACCACCATTTTCTAAAAAGGAGTTTTATTCTGTGCACTGCTTGGCTAGTCTGGGTTTCCCCTCCAAATATAGTCTGACCCAAATTACAAGTAAGGTAAGTTTTAGGTTTTGGACCTATTGGCTTCAGTAGTCTATGATTCAATAGAAGTTAAAACTTCATAATCATGCAGAACAGCAAAAACTGAAACACTGCACAAGCACGGCTAGATTTGACCTGAAAATGTGTGTAATTTTACTTGCATAGGTAGTGCCACTGAAATAAGTGGTCCTGCTTAAGTGTTTGCAGGATTGGTGCCCTAGTACTTTCTTCAATCAATTCATTTTGAAGTTTTCATTTTACATTTAAACACCCCAATATACAGTTCCTCATAGCTGGATGTTAATGGAGGGAAAGTGGGAGAGTAACATCTAAGATGCATTAAAACTCATCTTACCTTTTTAGGCCAAACACTAGCTCCTACTTCAGGGAATACAGTAGCTCCCCCTGCTGATACATCACTCATCTGTAAAGGAGAGAAAATAAGAGCAGCTTTTACCCAGTGCTTTCCAAAAAACACATCAATAAAATATTAAGTTACTGAAAACCTTCATTTCTGACTCCATATTAAGGGCACAATTTCTGTGACTAGCTGTAAAATTGCATTTGCTATGGCCCTGTAGCATGAAACAGAAAATGTGGTAGCCATTCTTGTTCCAGAATTTGTAAGGCTTTCAGATGCCTCGATGATGAGCAGAGTACAAATACCGTAGCAGCTAGAAAAATGGAGTTCACTTATCTGTAGCTAGAGGTTCTTTGACATGTGTGGTCCCTATCTGTATTCCACACATGGATATGCATGTACTCCGTTCACCTAGACTGGAAATTTCTTAGCAAGTAATGTCCATTGTTCTGCACCTGCACACTTGGTCTCCTCATGCTCCAAATCGAGGATATGAAGGGCAGTGCAAATCAACACGTTTCCAGTTCTTCTTCTTACTGGAAATCAAGAAAGATCAGAAGCAGAGGGGAAGGAGGGCAGGTAGAATACAAATAGGGGACTCCACACTTCAAAGAACCTCCAGGTTACAGATAAGTAACCTTCATTTCTTCTTCAAGTACTGGTCCCTGTGTGTATTCCACATGTGGATGATTGGTAAGCAGTATTCAAACAGAGGGAAGGTGCGAAAATGCAGTTTGTATAGATGTCTGTAAAACTGCTGTCCCAACAGCTGCATCTGCAAAAGAGGCCTACATTAAGGCATAATTTTCATGAAGGTATGGATGGCACTCCAGGGTAGCTGCTCTACAAATGTGTAGTATAGGTACCTCTGTAAAAGATGCTGTTGAGATTGCTTGAGGTCTAATGGAATAGGCTTTCACCCATCTGAAGGAGGAATATGCACCAGCTGTGAGAGAGTGCGCAGATAATGCTTTTCCTTGCAATCACTCTGTTGCAACAAATAACCTTGATGACTTCCTAATTGGTTTTGTTCTTTGCATATAGATTGCATATAGAATGCCAAAGCCCATCTGATGTCATGAGAATGAAGTCTCCTCTCATTGGAATTATGAAGTTGTGGGCAAGGCAACCACCAAAAGTCTGTGTAGCTCTAGTGATGCCATGCCATTCCTTGCTAACACCAGAATGCCCCACCAAAGAAACCCCTGGGTGGTGGAGTGGGAGAAAGCGGCAACAGTTGAGGCAGAGGAAGCAGTATATCTGCAGTATATCCGCTCTAGCATTGGATGGCAGCTTGTAAAAGTTCTGGTGGTAAAATGGCTGAGAGGCATGTCCAGGTTTATAACCCTGCTTGTGGCATTTTCTCTTTGGGGCTGGGATATAAATGCTCAGGGAGTGGAGAATTGTCCGGAGTCCTTACACAAGTGCAATGACTCATCAGCTTTCCTGCTGAAGGGTTAAACTGTAAGGAAAAATCCTCAGTGATATTCTGGATCTCCCTGGGGAACCCTGAAGAGGGAAGGCATGATTCAAGTATCATAACTATAGCTATAGCAACAGCTCTAAACATGGGATCATCCCCTTCCACTGCTGCTTAGAAAGAGGTCTCAGGCACCCGTTTGATTTCCTTAATGAGGTCTTGGAATTGAGTCCTGTCCTCCTGAGGAAGCAGGACATGGTAGTTAGCAAATTCTGACTTGGAGGTTGGTTGATGAAAATCCTTTCCAGAAGGTCAAGGCATTTAGAGCCTTTATCTGTTAGAGCTGCCCTGGGGTGTTGCAATCTTAATCTCACTGTGGGTGCCTGCACCACTAGGGAGTTACCCTCTGGGTGAGTAAAGAGGAATTCTGCTCTTTTAGCCACCCTGGGATGGGAGCACAGGGGTATGCCACAATGCCCTAGCAGGTTCCAAAATGGCCTTGTTCATTGAGAGGGCCACCAGAGAAAGGCCCATGGGTTGTAGGATGTCAAGGAGTTTAGGATGTGTGTCATGGACCTCGTCAAGAGAGAGCTGGAGCTCAGTCACCATCCCGTGCAAAAACCCCTGATATTGGCTGTGGCCATCAATTGATATGGCAATAATGGAGTGACTGCCTCATTGGGTGAGGACGATGACATGCCTTTTGGGACCATCAGTACCAAACCTCTAGTTTGATTTCTTCCTCTGTGTACTCAGTCAGTTGGTATCAGTTAGGAAAGTAGTGCTGGTAGGTTTTTGTGCACAGATCTGGGCTGTTTGGCGTATGGATCCTGTGGTGTCAATATCCCACTAATGCAGTTCTGTGGGCAGTTGTATCTTGAAGGAGGACTGCTCCAAGACCTCAGAGGTTCTATTAGGTTAGCCTCCCTAGGAGGAGATGGACTCAACGGATGAGAAAGTAGGTTCACCATCTACTGGCAGTCTACTGGTAGAAAAATGTTCCAGCTTGTGGAAAGGGTATGGGAAAAATCTCGGGGTGATTTCTTCCGACGTTGAAATGTCAGAGAAGGACCAGGCCGGCCAGGAAAGGAGGTTGTGGGTAGGGCAAGGCACAACCATCCTCTGGCAAGGTAAAAGTTTCAGTCCACGCTGGAGTTCTGGAGGTTGGGAGTGATGCACCTGAGGGCATGGTGGTTGGCTAATCCCTGCTGGAATGTCAGTGCTGTTGAAGGGGAGTCCAAAGTCAAGTTCCCAGTCCGTCCTGGTAGATGCTGATCATTTGTCCTATGACCTGGAGCTAGAACTAGAACTGACTGCTCCTTCTTCCTTCACAACTTCCCCTCTTGGATGGAAAATTTAGGTGGATGGATCTAACTCCCAGGACCTGTAGGCAAGGACTTACCTAACTTGGACCTAGTTGGAGAGGGTTACTTTCATTTGATGGCAGATCTAGAAGGGGATCTCTTATGCGCATAAGAATGCCCCTTACTCTGGTAAGAGGCCTGAGGCAGTGTTTTTTTGGGTTTACCGCTGTTATAGCCTCTGCTCTAGAACTTGCGCTCATAGGGTCATTGCCTACAGTCTGAGGCCACCGGGGGGCGAGGGGGAGAGGGAGGGTGTCTCCGTGGCCTGGATGTGACTGGGATCTTATGGCCTTCTCCATGTGGTATTTCCTCAGATGGTGCTCTCGTGCCTCAGGTTCATGACAAATGCTGAACTTGGTGGTTGTGAACCTCTAAAGGGAACGCTGGTGTTCATCACTGACTGAGAAGGAGCTGGGATAGGAGACAGTTCTTAAATCACAAGACTGAGTATAATCCTTCTCTGCAGGGAGAAGCTCCACAAGGCAGGAAGAAACTAAGCTATGCTAACTAGACTATAAACTCTAAGAATACTTAAACTATGTACAAATATATATTATATATTTACAGATTCTGCAGAGATTTCTGACTCAGGCCAAGTGCTGGGTAAGAGGGAGCTGGTGGCTGCACCACCCCTTATCCTCAGTTTGTAGCACAAGGAGAAGCCTGGACCAATGGACACAACTTCCTAGAAATTTCCAATCTCCGGTGCATGGGGTGTACATGTGCCTGTTGGGACCTCTTGTTGCCAACTGGCAGAGGGCACAGGGATCCCCTGGGTCAAATAGATGTATAATAATTCACCAAAATGTCATACGGTCTCTACTGAGAGCCAGTAGCCCACTGGTCATCAATCACTGCAAAACCTATGTATAGGTAATATTTAAGAATTTATGTATCCATACTGAAAATGTTTCAATTATGTTCTTAAGGTACAAGAATTTGGGTTCTTAACTTAGGGCACCAGGAGACAACACATCTTGCACAGGTTCCTTTTAGGCAGGAGGTAAGAGACACTTATCTCTCTGTCTGGTCATGCATATTGTGTATTGTCTGCCTCACATTGGAGGCTTATATACAGACTGAGCCAGATGCCAGCTGCACAGTTACACAATCTATGGGAGAAAATCAGTAAGAAAAAACAAATCAGCAGGGTCTAGGAGTGTGTCCTGTTTATGAATGAAGACTAAGGATGGGATTTTTATATCTGGGGAGGCAAAGAAACACTGAGTCCTTCACCTGGGAGACAATCTGACAGCATGTGTCTCTCATGAAAGCAGGATTACAGCCAAGAATGGCTGTAAAACACTGCAAGGACTTTTGGTGAGCATTACTCTGCAAGATGTGAGTATTTAAGTCTAGGTTGTAAAATGCATGTTATGATTTTATTTTATATATAAAGCCTTTTGCTTCCAGTAGTACTACTTGCTATTACTTGAATCTCTATGCTTTGTTAAATAAATATGTTTATAATGAAATCAAGTATGTTTAAGTGCTGTGTTAAGTGCAAAGGTGATGTGAGGTGGAATGGGTACGCTAGGATGTACTATTTCTTTTGGTGTCAAGTATCAGAGGGGTAGCCGTATTAGTCTGGATCTGTATCTAACCTTGTTATTTCTAGACTGATTCTTGCCTGCATATTTATACCTGCCTCCGGAAATTTCCACCACATGCGTCTGACGAAGTGGGTATTCACCCACAAAAGCTTATGCTCCAATACGTCTGTTAGTCTGTAAGGTGCCACAGGACTCTGTCTATTTCTTTTGGTGCACCAGTGGAATAGGGAGTGAACACTCCAGGGAGATGCTTGGAAGGCTTGAGGGTTGGTGTGTACTTATTGCTAACATATAGAGCAACAGTTGAACCAGCAAAGCCTAGATTGGGGTCAGCAACCTTTCAGAAGTGGTCTGCCAAGTCTTCATTTATTCACTTTAATTTAAGGTTTCGCGTGCCGGTAATACATTTTAACGTTTTTTAGAAGGTCTCTCTCTATAAAAGTCTATACATAATATAACTAAACTACTGTGGTATGTGAAGTCTGGGATTCCATCCACTGGCTCCTGCCAGCCAGGGTCCCGGCTACCGGCCCCACTCAACCTGCTGCCGGTCTGGGGTTCTGGCTGCCGGCCCCTTGCCAGCTGGGGTCCCAGCCGCCGGCCCCGCTCAGCCTGCTGCCAACCTGGTGCTCAGGGTGGGGGTGGGGGGCTGGGGATGTGTGGGGAATGCAGGAGTCAGGGATGGGATTGTGGGGGGAATGCAGGGGGCTGGGGTGCAAGGGAGATGCAGGGGGTGCTCCCAGCCCCCTGAGCAGCTCACGGCAGGGGGCTGAAGGGATACACCACCCTTCCCCCTGCCTCTTCTCTGCCTCCTTACCGGTCTGAGCAGCGAGGGTGCTGGGGCTGCTCTTCTCCCCTCCCTTGCAAGGGCCATCGGCTGCAGGGAGGGAGAGGAGGCAGGGCTCGACGCAGCACACTGGGGGAGGCGGGAAGCTTGGCTGCTGGTGGAGCCTGCCATATAGCAGCCGCCAGCAGGACCAAGCTTGCTTCTGCCCACCGCCCTCGCCAGAGAGAGTGGTAGGCGGGGGGCAGAGAAGAGTGGGCTGGGTCAGGCAGGATTTTTAAATGGCACGCTGCTGCCTGCCGGGGTCCGGCTCAGCCCGCTGCCGGGGTTCCGCAGCATGCTGGGTGGGACCCTGGCAGGCAGCAGCGTGCCATTAAAAATCGGCTTGCGTGCCATCTTTGGCACGTGTATCATAGGTTGCCAACCCCTGGCCTAGATGGAAGTGCTTATGTTGCTCTGGTTCGGGAGCTGCAGAGCTGACTACTGCTACATACAGACAAGGCTTCCTTACATGAAGGGCAGGTGGTAGTGAAGTGCCTCACAACCTTGGGTATCCGCAGGAAGTGTCATAGCTGTTGACTGCCTTTTCGATTATTAAAAAACCTCAAGCACCTAAAGAAAAGAACTTTGAGGCTGTAAGTTTACTGAATTTGTTTTTTTTTTTTGTAAAGTTGGTCCAATTTTAAAAGGTACTCTTATTTACCACTGAGCAATTATTAGCTGCCTTTATTTGCAGATTACATGAATCAGAATCACTGAAATCACTCAAGTGCCCAAAGCAAAATATGCAGAAATAGAAACTAACTGTTTTTTGGCAGAAACAGTTTGTAATGACATGGCTAAAAATGTCTCACTTACATAAAACAACCAAGTAGCAATTCTGTTGCCAGTTCCCAATTCTTTAAAAGCATCTGGCTCATCTTTCTGTGAAAGAAAGCGAAACACTGATTTAATAAAATGCTCATTATTTTGATCATGTAATTTGCACACCAGTGGATAGACAGCTGCAGTGCCAGCAAACAAACTCATGCAGAAAAATATCAAATATAGCTCAGGACACAGAGGGTGAGGAAAATGTATGTATTGGTTTATTTGTTAAATATTTTTCCTTTGCTAAAGCTACTGAAATTAAAAGGTTGCAGCCCACATGGCAAGTTGAAAATGCCCCTTTGTCTTAAAATTAATATATAAATCCCTTCATAATCTAGGCCTTAAGTACTTGTCTACTTGTAACTGACAAGCATGAGTTTACACAAGGGAAATCTGCTCTTCACTACCTCAGTTGAGTGAGAAGCAGGCTGAGGTCAGGACTTCTTGGGGTTGTACCTTGTTGGCTGCCTTTAATACATGCTGCCACCTTACCTTTTTATTTTGGCTCCCTCCCCCCCCCTTGATTTTTAGCCTTCTCCCTTTTTCCATCTGCTTTTCCCTTTTCTGCCTCCATTCTTTGTACTAGTGCACAAGTGACCCTTTGACAGGGACTATACCTGCTAGTTAATGTATTTGCCCTTGTGCCATGATGTTGCTGCCTGTGCTATTTGGCTTTCTTGACTTTCACATTTTATACAGCTTAGATATTGAATTATCCAATTCTTAGTATTACAGCTGCAATGTCTCAGAAGCAGGATGTCTGGCTCTAATTGCTGAAGCTGCTGATAAAATATGACCATGCATTAATGCATAAAATGGGTATTCTGAGATGTATTATACAAAGATCCACGCCTCTGTGTTTATGGAGGCAGGTGTGCACGTTCTAAAATACCCCAGGAGCAGCAATTCTCCCCCTATACAAGGAGCACTGGAGATGGCTCCCTGTGGAGCAAGTCATCATTATTCTTTTATTACAGCTAGAGAGTGGCAAGAATAGATACCTCAGCAAGAGCCAGGCTTGCTGCAGGACCTTTAGTCTACCCCAGTTAGAACCGATTCTAACTAGGGCTGTCAATTAATCGCAAATTAATTGTGATTAATTGCACTGTTAAACAACAACCAATTGAAATGTATTACATATTTTGGATGTTTTTCTTCATTTTCAAATATATCAATTTCAATTATAACAGAATAAAGTGTTCAGTGCTCACTTATTACAAATATTTGCGCTGTAAAAACAAAATACTATTTTTCAATTCACCTCATACAAGTATTGTAGTGTAATCTCTTTATCATGAAAGTGCAACTTACAAATGTAGATGTGTTACATAACTGCACTCAAACAAAACAATGTAAAATTTTAGAGCCTACAAGTCCACTCAGTCCTATTTCTTGTTCAGCCAATCATTAAGAGAAACAAGTTTGTTTACATTTACAGGAGATAATGCTGTCCACTTCTTAATTACAATGTCACCTGAAAGTGAGAACAGGCGTTCACATGGCACTATTGTAGCTGATGTTGCAAGGTATTTATGTGCCAGATGCGCTAAAGATTTATGCCTTTTTATGCTTCGGCCATTGTTCCAGAGGACATGCTTCCATGCCAATGATGCTTGTTAAAAAAAGAATGCATTAATCAAATTTATGACTGAACTCTTCAGGGGAAGAATTGTATGTCTCCTCCTCTGCTTTATTCTGCCATATATTTCATGTTATAGCAGTCTCAGAGGATGACCCAGCACATGTTGTTCGTTTTAAGAACACTGTCACTGCAAATCTGGCACAATGCTAAGAAGATATCAATATGAAATTTCTAAGGATAGCTACAGTACTCGACCCAAGATTTAAGAATCTGAAGTGCCTTCCAAAATCTGAGGGGGATGAGGTATGGAGCATGCTTTCAGAAGTCTTAAAAGAGCAACACTCTGATGCAGAAACTACAGAACTCGAACCATCAAAAAAGAAAATCACTCTTCTGCTAGTGGCATCTGACTCAGATGAAGAAAATGAACATGCATTGGTCTGTATTGCTTTTGACTTATCAAGAAGAACCTGTCATCAGCATGGATGCATGTCCTCTAGAATGGTGATTGAAGCATCAAGGGACTTATGAATCTTTATCGCATCTGGCATTTAAATATCTTGCAACACCGGCTACAACAGTGCCATGTGAATGCCTGTTCTCACTTTCAGTGACACTAAACAAGAAGCAGGCATTATCTTCTGCAAATGTGAACAAAAAGTAGGATAGAATGGATTTGTAGGCACTACTTTTTTTATTTTTGAACGCAAGTTTTTTTGTACATAATTCTACATTTGTATGTTCAACTTTCATGATAGATTGCTCTACAGTACTTGTATTAAGTGAATTAAAAATAGTATTTTTTTACATTGCAAATATTTGTAATAAAAAAATAACGTGAGCACTGTATACTCTGTATTCTGTTATAACTGAAATCAATATTTGAAAATGTAGAAAACACCCAAAAATATTTAAATAAATGGTATTATATTGTTTAACAGCAGAATTAATTGCGTGATTAATCACGATTTTTTTAATTGCTTGACAGCCCTAATTTTAACTCAATTACTGAAGTTCAGCCAATCAAGAAGCCATGCCCACACTACTAATTTAATAGGGACTCAGCTAGAAACCAACTTAAAAAAAAAAAATGACTTCCTCCCTTCATATGCCACAATGGCACTGCTATACCAAAGATCTGCCTTACAGAACATTTTAAAAACTGTCCATATGTATCCCCTGAAGCACAAGAGAAACCATCCACATTGTGGGGCAGGAAACTATTTCTTTCTGGTTGAGACTAATTACTGTTACATATTCATCTGTGGGAAGTCTCCAATGCATTTCCCCCCCCCCCCAAATAACATTGTATATTTTTGTGCACTGATGGTTCATTCTTTTTAGAAGCCATTATTTTAGAAATTAATTCATGCATTTGAAAACAAATTGTTAATGATTTTCAATGACTTTGACAGGACTTTTCATATTTGTTGGTTTTTGGTTCACAGGACAATGTTAATCTAAAAAAGTGTTAATCACACATAAAATGCCCATTAAACAACCACCTGAAATGGCATTATTTCCCGTCATGTGAAATTCAGTTGGGGTAGGGAGAGGTGAGGAAATTCAAATTGTTTATCAAATGAGCAAGTAAACAAAAGCAGAGCTTGGGAGGGGCGGGAACATAAGGCTTTTGTCATCTCTTAATTTCTTTCTTTGGGCAATTAATTTTTTACTCAATTTATAAACCAGAAAAAGCAGCGGATTGATTTATGAGAATTTAGTGCTAGTGAAAGGTGCTAAAACTCACAGCTCTGGGAAATTAAATTCTCTCTCCACATTAAAGGTATAGCATAGGCAATAGCAATGCATACTTCACCACAGTGTCCAGACAATCCTGACCTGCAGGGACTCTCTCTAGAAAAGAGAAGATAATTAAGTCTCCAGGCCAATTCAGTTCCTGGCCTCTCTGAAGAGACTACCTAGTGGGGTGCAAATTGTGGTAATTTGTGTGAGTGGAAACCCTGTTGATTGAGGCCACTACATTATTTTCCATATGCCACCAAAACAGACATCAGATAGTAATAACTGATTCATTGCAGACTTTGGTTGGACTTGCACCAGTGACTAAAAATTATTACATTGAGCTGAGCCAGCCATACCTTATCCATCTCCCAAATGAAGTTAATACCTTCAGTCTGAAAGAATTAGTCACCTCCCTCAATAAAAGACTGTTTTACAGTTTGAAAGGAGGAGATCTTACTGCTTTATAATGCCTGTTCAGTTGGTGGTTTAGAGGGCTTTATCCATTAATGTGGATTAGAAGAGTTGATAGGCTATGAAATTTAACACAAATTAAAGAAAATATATTGTGCCACAGTCAACAGGCCTAGACTTCAGTAAGTCATTTTCACCCCTCCACCTCTTTACTTGCCCGTGCAAAGTCAAAGTGGGGTTCATACTGTCCTCCCACTCCATAATTTGCCACCTGAAAAAGAGAAACACAGTGCATGTGAAGTAGAAAGCCATGAAGGCAGAAAAGTAGAGGAACTTACCCTTCCAAAATCAAAATGAGGCTCGTACTGGCCTCCTACGCCGTAGTTGGCTACCTATAGTGAAAGGAGAAGCACAAATATCTAATAAAGCAGTATATTATCTGGAGGAGAGCAAATGAATATTTGACTCCAGCCTGTACACTTAAAACTTCCATCTACAAAAAATTCAGTCAGAGAAAATAAGTCCTTCCCCTGTAGGGCATACTGTAAAGGGTTAAATCCTATTAAACCTACTCATGAATAGTTCCATTGATTTCAATCAGACTACTCATGAGAATACAAGCAGGAGTTTAGCTCTGAGTTTTGAGTCTCGGGATCATTTCTACAGCTATCTACAGACTCTCTCATGATAGCATTTCAAACCCTAGAATAGGGGTTCTCAAGTTTTTTGGTGGCCCTGGAGTGCAGCCACCAACAATTTTTCCTAAAATACTGAATTAACTTTAGGAAAAAAAAATTCATATATACATCTCTAAATTATTGTAATTTATTTATGTAGGGGTGGATTTCCTCCCTCCCCTCCCCCCGAAGACTCAGTAATAAAAATAATATACACTTGTCTCTATTCTTTATTGGACCTAAACAGAACAGAAACACCAATAAGGTGCTTTGCACGTTCTTGTATTTTTGGGGTAGTTTTTCCTTTTAAAAAGACTTGCTTGCTAGTAAATCTACTGCTGTGAAAAGTGGTATTTATATGTTAATATCACTTTTCACAGCCTCCCAGCTAGCTACTCAGTCTGCTGTGAAAAGTGACATTAACAAACATACAAATATCATGGCAGACTTACTCAGCCCCAGGAAGCCTGGGGACAAATTAAGCCCTGGATGGGGAGCCAGGGGTTATTGGGGGGTGAGCCCTGGGTAGATACCTGCCGCTGCACGGCCAGGGTTGGATCCCTGGGGTCCAAGCCCCAATCCCACAGCCAGGGGATGGAGCCCACTGCTGGGAGGCTGGAGAAGGCAGCAGGGGCCAGGAGCGCTAAGTGGTGAGCCTGCCACCACAAGCCCAAAGCTGGAAGAGGCAGCAGAGGCAATGGGGGGGGGGAGGGGGGAGGGAAGAAGAGCCACAAGAAAAGCCCCTGGTGGCCTCATGCAGCCACAGTGGCTACATTTGAGAAAATGCTGCCCTAGAAAGAGGCAGCCAAACATCTTCATTTTCTGTTACCCTGAATTAACTTTCCTGCACTCTTCTCCCACCCTAAGTCATATAGACACTTTAAATTTATACACAGACAGAATGCACATTAAGAAAGTCTGTTGACTGTGCAGTCCTTCTCTAAAATCCTGAAGGTGGTCAGGTCAAGTATGATTTTTTAAGGATGCTGAGCATCTTCAGCTATCAGGCTCCTGTGAGTTGGGATGCTTGGCATCTTAGAAAAATCAGGCAATTAATCCTCCATGCAGTGTTAGATTAGCTCAGCAGCGGCAGAAGTAAATCCAAGACTATTTATGAGTTAGGATTTCAGAATTCCTGCAGCAGAGTCTGTTCTTGAAGTGAGAGCTCTAATATTTCACTCCACCACTATTACTTTACTGATCAGCACAGCTGGAGCCATCATGCCTTCAAATACTTCTCCATTGCACACAGTATCAACAAAGATAGTCACTTTTTTGATACTACCACTCTTAGTTTCTGCAACTCTGTTTGGAGAAATGTATCATCTGTCCCTGCTTGTCTCTAGTCTATCAGTCGTTTTGAGTAATGTTCCCCTCCTGTAATGGTTGTCTGTTTTATACCAAGAAGTCCTTTATCCAAGTCATAGATAAAATAGTAATTAGCTTCTATAAACTTTAAAGACTTACAAAATTGTTCTTAAAGCATCCTTGTGTGTCACTCCAAATCACTTTCCCATCCTTTAACAGGAACTCTCTCCCTCCATTCAAAATGAAGCTCAGTTTTGGATATTAGTCATCAGCCTGACCACATTTTTTCTTTTGTCAACCATATTGCTGACTTCCATCTGCCACCTTCTCCTACACGCACTCTAAAGCAGGGGTGGGCAAACTTTTTGGCCTGAGGGTCACATCTGGGCATGGAAATTGTATGGTGGGCCATGAATGCTCACAAAATTGGGGTTAGGGCTCTGGGGTGGGGCTGGGAAGGAGGGATTTGGGGTGTAGGAGGATGATCCAGGTTGGGACCGAGGGGTTTGGAGGATGGGGGAGAAGGGGCCTCTCTGGGGTGGGGCGAGAAATGAGGAATTCAGGGTGCAGGTGGTGACTCTGGGCGGGGGGGGGGGGAAGGAGGGCTTTGGATGGGGGTGCAGGAGGGTGCTCTGGGCAGGGACTGAAGGGGTTTGGAGGATGGGAGGGGGAATCAGGGCTGGGGCAGGAGGTTGGGGCACAGGAGGGGGTAAGGGGTGCAGGCAGCACTTACCTCAAGCAGCTCCCGAAAGCAGCATCACGTCCCCACTCTGGGTCCTACCCAGAGGCATGGACAGGTGGCTCTGCGTGCTGCCCCGTGCGGAGGTGCCGCCCCTGCAGCACCCATGGGCCGCAGTCTAGCGCATAGAGCCCCCTGGCTGCCCCTAAACATAGGAGTCTGAGGGGGGGACATGCCACTGCTTCTGGTAGCTGCAGCACACACGCCCAGAGCGACCCCCATCCCCGCTCCCCTGCTGGAGTGCGGGAGCAGGGCAAACCCCAGACCCTGCTCCCCAGCAGAAGCTTGAGGGCCGGATTAAATCAGCTGGCAGGCCGGATGTGGCCTGCAGGCCATAGTTTGCCCACCCCTGCTCTAAAGAGCCCTCTATTCTGAACTGGATGCCTTGGCATTTTATCCTCATGTGAACTTTGTTTAGTGTGGCAAGCCTGGTTTCATGATCAGCAGTCACACTTTCTACGTCTTAATCATAGACTTGTAGGACTGGACGGGACCTCGAGCCGTCTTCTAGTCCAGTCCCCTGCACTTAAGGAAGGACTAAGTATTATCTAGATCATCCCTGACACGTGTTTGGAAATTTTTAAGAGCAGGTTAGACAATGACAGAGATTTCACAACTTCCCTAGGCAATCTATTCCAGTGCTTAATCAGCCTGTCAATTAGGAAGTTTTTCCTAATGTCCAATATAAACTGCCCTTGCTGCAACTTAAGTCCATTGCTTCTTGTCCTATCTTCAGAGGTTAAAGAGAACAGTTTTTCTCCCTCGTCCTTGTAACCATCTTTTATGTACTTGAAAACTGTTATGTACTCCCCCAGTCTTCTCTTCTCCAGACTAAACAAACCCAGTTTTTTCAACCTTCCCTCATAGGTCATTGTTTGCTATACCTTTAATCATTTTTGTTGCTCTTCTTTAGATTTTCTCCAGTTTGTCCACATCTTTCCTGAAATGTGGCACCCACCCATACTAGATACAATACTCCAGTTGAGGCCTAATCAGCATGGAGTGGAAAAATTACTTCTTGTGTCTTGCTTACAACACTCCTGCTAATGCAGCCCAGAATTATGTTTGCTTTTTTTGCAACCATGTTACACTCAATGTGAATGGCAGTAAATGTTAAAATGTGATGCTTCCACGTTGCTGAAATAGGGATTTGGGGTCTTAATTTAACTAGTGAATTTATTTAATTCACTTAAAATATACACATGCGATCACAATCTTCCCCATGTTCTAACAATACTGATGAAGTAAGGATAAAGTCCTCAAATCAGTTTCTCTGAGACTTTCTAATCTTGAAATGGATTCAGAGAAAACAACCTATTCCCTTAAATATCACTCAAACCAATATTTCTCTAGATACCATTCCCATGAAAATTTGAGCTACCATCAGAAAACCTGGTCTTATTGGTGGCAATAAAAAAATTTCTACATAAAAAAACCTCACTCATTTTAAAGAGCAGAAATTTCAACTGTTCTCTACTTCCCTACAGGTTCTATAAGTCAAACTCAGCCCTGGGGTAAGCAGGTGCTGCTCCACTGAAAACGGAACTGGATCCCCTTTACACCAAAACTGAATTTGGCTCAGTTATTCAACTGAAGTATCAAGGCATTGATGTTCTTCCCATATTGTTTAGGCCTTACTTTCGGTAACACTTGAAGGAGTTGAGTGCACACCAAAGAATAAGCCTCTGCATATATCCCCCAAAGCAGCTGTCTGAAGACTACCTGGGTGTGTCTACTGTACAGTAGATTTAAAAGTCCATTTCATTCAAACCAAAGTCTGGTGTGACTAGTTACTGAAATCCTCATTTACACACCTGTAGTTCCTCTGCTGTGGAAACATCCAATCCTGTTAGGTCCTGTATCCTCCTGTTAATGCGAGATACCACAGGGCTTTCATATCCAGACAACCAGGCACTAAATTAAAAAAGGAAATGATTTGCTAGTAACATACCATAAGCTTGTGTTAGAAGTGGAACATTCAGAATCATTTGTAGACAATTGTTTAGGCTAATAATATAATTACGGGCATTGCCAGGTTCCACATTTGTGAGGCTTCTCTTACCAGAGAGGACATTTGTAACTTTGGTAATATCAGAGTCTTGAATAAGGCCCCTAGTTTCTATAATGGGTTAGGAAATGATCAAAGGAACCATATTTAATTTTTTAAAATAGGTAAGTTACTTTCCAATACTATTTGGAAGTGGACAGGACTAAAAATTGTATTCCATTATTTTATGTCAGGTTCTAACAATCATTTTGAACAAGCTTACAAACACAAGTTTTGCCCTGTCTATTCTGAACAGACAATCCATTGTAGGAACTTATGCAGCCGAAGCAATGTTTAAACATGGACCCTTATCTCTGTTTTTGGCTCAGCAAACACAGGACCTTGGTGATTGCAACACAACTCTCCCAAACGCTATCCTCTCAGGTTATACAGATCTGTGATTTCCACGCCTTCCCTCATTTCTTATTTGCTTTTAACAAGATTTAATATAAATAAATTTAAATAAAACTTCACTAACAAGTTTCCCATTATCAGGCAATGAAATTAATAGGGCAATTCACATCCCTCAGACCTATTTTTTCCCCAGACATACTGCACTGACATTTGGTTTCACATTTTCAATGCTTTCTCTGCAACTATAAGGACTAGAGACGTAACATTTTTAAAATGAAAGTGGAAATTCTAGAGAACAAGATGAATGCCTCAAAAAAAGGATGGGTAGGAGGGACTGGGTTGGGTTGTCAACCCATCTCAATCAAAGCCCTGTTTGAACAGAGAACTGTGATAAAGGGACTACCTCCATATTCCAAGCATAATAGTATAGATACACATAAAGAACAGTCCAGATGTTTATGCAGTGAGCAATACTACACAAGCTTTACTGTAGCTGCCCTCTTTTTAAATAAAACAGGAACAATTTTTTGTGGGCTCTCAAGATAATCTGTTTTCAGAAGGGCTTCTGGAGAATAGAATACGAAGTGGCCAAAGTTTCCCCATCTGCCCCCATTGGTGGCAAGAGCAAAAGTATATTTACAAAACAAAAAATCTGAATACACAGAAAAGGTATTTTAATTTCTCTCCTCCTTGTTCAGATATTCTTATCAGAACAACTTGTAGAATATTCAGTATTTAGCAAATAGTTCTGCTTTAGTTGAGTAAGCAAATATTACCCAGTATCATTTTTTAAATATTTTCCAGCTTCCTAAAAAGGTCAGCCTCAAAGTTCTGAATATCATTTTAGAACTTTGCTGCCTTTAAATTATGATATTTAAACTTAGAACCAAGAGCTTCCTTTGCAATTAAGATACTTCTGGGGAAAAAATTAGTTCAGACAGAAATAAAACAGGTGCAGAAATAACAGATACTATATAAGCCTTCAATATGAATCCTTGTCTTCATCTAGACCCTTAGACTACTGAACCAATGTACCATTTTGCAGGTAAGGAGAAGATCAATCACAATGCTATCCTGTTTATTATGTTCATTCTTGAAAATCAAGCAATGTAAAAATGGCAACTGTATCCAAAGGTAATGATTTAACTTGAGTATTACTGACTCAGTGCAACAGGGTTCAAACTTCGTGTCATCACAACTTCAAGTTCAAGCCAGTCTACTAGACCATTTCCCTTACCCCTCAAACATATAAACACTCCTGATGCATCTCCAGCAATATGCCTTTTTTTCTAGTCCCTTTTCTATTCCTCTTTGCACATGCTACCCAGCCATCTTTTCCTCTTCTCCTTTTTCTTCATCAGACAGTCCTCCCTCATTGACAGCACAAAACACTGACCACTCTGGTCCCTGAAGCTGGTTGGTTTACACAACCCTTTTATGTGGTAACTCCTCCTAGCCGCACAGCTAGCTCCCTGGATCATCTTTGCAATGGAAAGTCTAGACACCTATAGAAGCAGTGGGAAACTAGAAGCCAGCACCACTTGAACACCAGTGCCCACAGATCAATCTGAGAACCAGTGAACTGGCAAATCAGTATGTGCGTTGGTTCAAAGGGTTATAACAATTTTTCACCTACTAACATGAGTGTATTTCTACATACCTGTTTTTTTAAAAGCCCCAGAACGCCCCACATCAAGAGAAGCAGCAAAACACGTTTCTACAACACACGGTACTGACACAGGTTACAGAATCTCCAAGGGCAAACATGAAATCTGTTTAAATATTCACCATGCACAGAACAGCACGTAAATGCACTCCATCTCAAAATGAGGACTTCAGCACACTGGGAATATTTATAAAAATACGGTAGAACAATTGTTAGCATAAGAAAGTGTTAAAAGCAGTCTAGCCTCATTCTGTTTAGAATGAACAAGGAGGAAAGGAATAGGAATGTGTGCATATGAAGCATTTCCCACAACAGCCAATTATACACTGCATATTGAAAATTAAAACCCCAGAACATGCAACACTGTCCTCAGAAAGGCACTGTAACAATGATACATAATACACAAGAAACCACCACAATAAGACCATTCTATTACTATCAGGCTAAGCCATCACACCCGAATTAATCTGTGCTTGCTAGAAGTCACTATTCAACTCTACCAAGTAGCTTTCACACTCCCTCGGAGTGCTATAGAGAAGACAGGTGGTCTAGTGGTTACGACACTGGCCTGGGATTCAACTCAAGTTCAATGCCCTGCTCCATCACAGACTTCCTGTGTGGCCATGGGCAACTCACTTAGTCTGTTTCAGTAGCCCATTTGTAAAATGGAGAAAAATAGAACCTGCCTACTTCACACAAGTGGTGGGAGGATAAATAAATTAGAGTATGAGGCACTCAAGTATTTATTTAGCCCCCCCCCCCCACCCACCACCACCATAGTGTATAAGATAGAAGGGGCAGTGGTGGTGGCTGGGAGGAGAGGAGAGAATGATCTTGCATTTTAATATTTGCCAGAACTGAGACAGGTTTCTGAGTCTGGCAGTTGTTTCCTCACCACAGCTGTGTGACAGAGAACAGAAGGAAGCCGATGATCCAGATAAAACCAACTTTTGTGAAGCATCAGTCCTATTTCTGGTAAAACAGCATCATACATGCATCAGACCCTCACTAGAATGCGGGGGTTTGGATCCATGTGCGGTCCCGCGCTATAAGTGAATTTGCGCTATATAGATGTGCGTTCTAGCGAGCATCTGCTGTACTTTGGAAGAATAACTTGGCAGTGAAAGCTACTTGGTAGAGTTGAGTAGTGACTTCTAGCAAGAAATTTTGGCACAGGTTGTCACCCATAAGCATCACTGAATCTACTTCCTCAGTTCCCATCACAGCTCAGAAGGATTTGCGTATTCCTAGCTCTGGAATGATTTTTCAGCAGCACTAGCCTCTGGTAGTTCTCTAAGCCTCTAGTACAGCAGTTCTCAAACTTCATTGCACCGCGACCCCCTTCTGACAATAAATTTACTACACGACTGGGAGGAGGGGGGGGTTCCACCTCCCTGGGGGTGGGGTGGGGAGGGAAGAGGAGGCGTGAGCCCCACCCCCCTGGGTGGGAGTGGAGCTTGGGCTTCAGCCCCAGGTCCTAGTAAGTCTATGCTGACCCTGGTGACCCTATTAAAATGGGGTTGTGACCTACTTTGCAGTTCTGACCCCAGTTTGAGAACTGCTGCTCTAGTAGGTTCCTTCAGAACAGCAACTTCCAGCAGAATTTGTCTATCTGCCCTTCAGGGATACGAGCCCATCTGTATCATCCATTTTTGCTGCTCGTCTCAACTTTTGATCACCGTGGATATATTTAAAATCAGTTTAAGGGAGCTGTTCTCTCTACCTCTTGCAGGACTCACTATCAAAGCAGCCAACGTAGGTATCTACAGTGAGTGCTGCTCTACAGGGACAGAAATCCTCCACTTCATTTCCCTTGCTCTCTTGTATCACCACCCTTCTCTCACACTACTCTGAAGACATTTTTCCCACTGGTAATTGCACTATAGGATTAGTAATCAGTTAGAAAATTGTGTTCAACTAGCTGAACTATTAAAGTATGGATTTAAGGATCAGAGCAGCTCATGTGAAATGCATGCCAGGCTCTGCCTTTCAGTGCAACTTTTCCTTAGACTTCTACTGGCCAGAAAATAATTTCACTCATTTGAAATATCATTATGCTTCAAGTGAATGTTACAGACAGGTAACCTTACATCTGAAAAGACTATCATCCACATTAAGAGGAGCTTTTTTCCCCGGTGGAAAATAATTCTCTTTTCAAACCCCTTTTACTGGCGAAGCCCACAAGCATTTTTCCACTTTACTTTAAGAGGTAATCATAGGGAAGCTAATATAGGACTTGAAGTTTTCTTTGTATCACTTCAAAAAACCAAAATTCCTAGAGATTCCCTAAAGGGTAGAGAGGTCTAGTTATCATTGCTGCCATCATCAGAATATAACATTCAGCCGCTCCCCTTCAGAAGCTGTTCATGGAAATCCATGAATAGAGCGTGGTCTGTACACCTGAATTAGAAATATTCTGCCACACTGTATTTTACATAAAATATTTTATGAAGTGTTTGAAATCCACACTGGTGGATATCTGACATTTTCTCAACTTGAAAATTAAAAAAATTGGGAAACAGATGTTTGACCTTATTTTATTACAAATGAACAGTTAAAAATGGCAATTACATTTACTCCCCTTTCCTAGCATTTCTAGTCATTTCTTAAAAAGTTGAATGTAACCTAGTCATTGGGATATATGAAATATCACTTTCCTAACATTTTTACATACTAAGGATGGTCTAAATACTCTTCCTTTAGAGAAAGAGCAGTGATTAAAATAAAAGCAGAGGCTGATATTCCTGAAGAGGAAACACTAATATCATATGCTATGGATTCTAACTGGCTGCCTCAAAAATCACTAGTTTCCTTGAAAGCTGTGTCAGACTGGCTGGATATAGTCTTGTACTGCATACAGCAAGGCTTGACATGCCTCTTCATGTGGCTGGCGACATGCCCCCGTTTACACAGTCTGCCACGTACTGCTGAGTGAACAGTAGTCTCCTCATAGAGGAATGCTGTAATTTAGAAGGGCAATGACTAGGAAAGAATGCCTGTAATGTTTGGAGTGGAGAAGCAGACATCTATTTAAAAAAAAGTAAATAGAGCAGAGTTTCTGGTATTCAGTAGTAAGGATTTATCTGGAATCCAAACCAGCTCAGTCAAAAAGCCCTAATAGGAGGATATTTCCTCAACAAGTCTATTTACTACCAATCCTTTTGGAACAGAATTTCTAGTAATCTAGTATTTAAGACTTCATACTTTCTAATGTAATTTGTAGTAAGCTTCTTGTTCATAAGGGTTCTAAACTCATTGCTTACATAACTAACTAAGAGCTAAGGATTTGGGCGGGGGGAGAATATTTTGCACATTTTGTCTCTGTAAACCCAATTCATTTTTACCCCCTTTTAAAAAAACACTATTCAAATGCTGAGGTTAAAACTATGACAAAAACCTTTTAATGACAGTCTCATTTGTTCAAAAGATAATTTAATCAAACAAAATGTGGATCTAATTTTCCAATGAATGCTGGATTTTATATTAAATCAACTAGCAGAGTAAATGCACAACTGGTTTGTGTTAAACCTATAATAACAAGGAATTTTTGAACTAAAGTTCTCAAGCTCTCTAACTCATGCCGTTGTTGCTATTCATTATAACAAATCTCAAGTGCTTAATTTTAAACACAAGTTATATTGGTACAATGGCACAAATAAGTGACCAGTGCAATCCTTTCTGAAACTTAGTTTAGGTGGGACCCTTCACTTTATTTTAACAGTTTTTTAGTATGCTAGTTGTGTTATTCAGGACCATGCAGACAGAAAAGCAGCAGCAGCTTTCCTTTTAGGTAGCAGGAATGATTTAAAAACTTCCTATTTAAGCAGCCCATTTGCACCAGTATGTGCCAGGTAATTTTTAGGCCACCTCATCTCTTCTAAATAGGAATAAGCACAAGAAAAATATGTATAATCTTTCCCCATCCCAGATTTGCAACTAGAAGATTTAACAGGCTAGCCACAAATCAGATTTCCTAGATGTTAGATATACCTTTGGAACACATTCCCCTTACCTCTTAGAGACTCTGTAATGTGCTGTGGTCAGTTTCCCAGTCTGAGGGTCATGTACAGTAGCCCGGCTCAGCTACAAAAAGAGAAAGGACAAGGGCTTACTCTGGTAGTAGGCTTCTTTTTGCCAAGCCACGGGTGACTGGAAGGGTTTCCGATTGGTCTGGATGGTATGCAATGCTCTCAGATCAGCAGCAATATTTAGAAGGGAGACAGTATCTGCAGCTGCCATTTCCAAAATCAAGAATTGTGTGGACAAATTTGGTTAGACTGTCCTTTCTACTTTTTTTTTTTTAAATTAAACTAGAGACTTTCTGCAAATAGTTTATAGTGCTGAGTTTCAAAGAAAATTCCTCCATATCCAGAAGTTTAATGTTCTTTTTTGTTTTAGTTAAATACTGAACAGGATTTTTGTGAGGAAAACAAAACAGCTAATGAAGGACTAGATCTTTACTAGGCAGCTCCTAAAGATGTCTTTTTAAGAGGTGCAAGTGCTAAGACATTTTATCAAACTTTTTTCAAAAAATAAACTCAAGTTCACAAATCTGCAATGCTTTTCAGCAAAATGGAGAGAACTCGGAAGCCTGTAAAGAAGAAAATACGGCTTTCTTCAAAGTTTGAGTTAGGAGGCAAGGAAAAAAAAACCCAACAGACAGGAGGAAGACAGATTATCTTGGACTAATGAACAAATGTTTCTGCATGCCAATGCAACTGTTATACAGGATAATGTGACTCCACTTCTGAATGCAAGGGATTCTCAGAGTCTGCCAGATTTAGCAAATTTTTGTTGGCATATGTGGTTGGGGAAAGCAAATATAAGGTAACCGCCACTGAGTTTTTGCACCTGTGCACAGTCTATGCACCTGTGCAAATACTACTTAAGAAAAGGAATATTAGCTAAAATGGCAAAAAAACAGAACTTCTAGTTAGAGGAAGAGACTGAGAAACTCAGCAGTAACAGCCTGTTACAATATCTGTACATATTAAAGAGATGGTCTAGAAAGTCAGAAGTATCTTTTTAGACCACCCCTATTTCCCTGAATGAGCAGAGAACAAGCACTCATTCCAGGCCCAGAATGTTTGGTGTATGAAGTCTCTTACCTTTTGCTAATTCTGTAATGTGCCGTCTCCAAGACTCCCGTTATGGGGTTTGAAATGGTGGCTCGCCTCAGCTGTGAAGCGAACCAATCAGAATAGTTGCATTACAAAGTAAATATTGCATCACATTAATCCGACCAGTCAGAAACCTACAGAGGGGAAAAAATTTCCACACAAGCCATGCACTTCATCCAATCAGTTTCCATTGTGGTGTTTTACAGCAAAAAGAGTATTTTTGGGGTGGCAAAGGGGGAGAAAAATCTTTAACACTAATAAAAAGGAGATACTTCCGTTCCTTCTTAGAGAAGAGGGAGTGGTACATTTTTTCCTAGAAGCAATACTCCAGTTTCTCGGGAGCAACAAGAGCAGCTGGTTAGATAAGTAAAGCTATTTCCTGTAACATCTTTCAACTCCTTTATAGTCCAAGTGGCAACTGTTGAAGTCGTACAGCATGTATGTCGAAGACGTACAGCTCTTACTTTGTTAATGATCTACTGTACATCCAGAATGCACTTTAGAGTTAAATCATCAATAAGGAACACACAGTAAAAAGTTTTAACCGTGGGGGGGAAGGAGGGGAGAAGGGGGAAAAACATGAAGGAAACCTTACCTTAGAATCTGAAAAATATCTTTAACTTATTAGCTGCATTAGCTAAACCTTCTACATTGATTGAATAATTGATCTGTATTTTGCACACTGTTCCAGAACGCAGACCCATCGGCCACACCACGATCACAAATCATGTGAAATACTCCCCACATTTTTGGTCATCCAAAAATAAGACTTTGGTCCAAGACTGTTCTGGGGCTTCTTCTCCAACCAACACACTGTACCATTGTCAAGTAATTTGCTTCCATCCCGCTCTATTCAGCGTCCCATTCTGCTCCATTTCCACAAGATCTCTTTCTGCCATACGATGTCATGGCAACACCACAAAAAAACTGCTTGTTGCTACTGCCCATTCAGCTACTATACAGTGAGCCATAATTGGGAAAGTTTCGGTTGCAATGCCCCAGCATTAGAAGCACTAGAAGGTCATTGTCATAGACTGTGTTATGGTGACTCCAGGCCAAGGAGGGTTTATTGAGTACCGTTTATGTCAATCTGGGCAAGTGTTTTACTACTAGTTTTTATTTGTATTTTGCAATAAAGGCTCAAAGCATCTCAGACCTTACTGATTCAAACAAAGTCAGGGAATCCCTTAATCTGCACTGTTCACCCCATTTTGTCCCCTGGGTAAAGTGGCTGGATCATTGCACACAGCCTACTACTCAAAAACAGACAGACAGTCTCCAAAGATTGAATTAAGCTTTTCTCATGCCAGCTGATGACAAAGGAGCAGAAGACTGGGTAGTGATTATATACCCTTTCACTTCTAGACTCTAAGACTTCTGACACACTCACAATGCCTGGAATACAAGAGATGAACTTTCAGCCTCAAAACATAGCCTCATGCAGCATCAACCACTGAACCCTGCAATGTCTAGGCTTTAAGTTTGAATGTTCCACATTTTTCAACATAAGAGATTAGTACCCGTGATTGTTACAAAACTGTGCCAGACTGACTATTTATCTGATTAGAAAACAATGGTCCCAAAAAGTTTAGTTTAAATCTACTATCATCTGTGTATCGTTCTTAGACTTTCTGTGATCCTTATAACAGAAAGGTTTTTCTTTCCACTCCATAAAGAACAGGTTAGTTACACTCCAAGGAGGCAACACCAGTGTATCCTACAGCAACAATGCAGCCCAATCATCAGTTGGATCATTTTCCATGATTTTGTAACACAATGAAATAGGAATTAGCACACAAACTGGGATCCGATTCCTGATGTGCTCGACATAGGAAGCATAGGCAGGAAGAGATGTTTTAGGTGTAAGGAAGGAGTACAGCACTTGAAATCAGATCCACTGCTTTAGTCTGGGGTGTTACCTCAAGAACAAAGAGTGGCAGGTGAGAGAGCGCCTACTCTTCACTTGATGCTCTTCAGTACTCAAGTTGGTGGCTAACAAAGGCAGCACCATTCTTGACTTGATTATGGATAAGGCCTTTGATTTGCTTGAATAAAGGAAAAATGGTTGGATAATTTCTCTTAGATAATTCCGATGCACCTATCCACATAGAATGTATCCTTCATTTGCTCAGCTTGCTCCCAATAAGTATCTATTTAGCATAAAGAGAAGACATGCTGGGGAAATGATGCACTTATATTGTTTGCATCTGATTTCAGAAGTAGTTGGTGACCTATACAAGCATGGATTAACTAGAATAGCTTCACCTCAAGTACAAGTCTTGAGATAGAGTTAAATTGAGACAAGTTGTGTTATATTTACTGCCTTGCTACACTGCAAGCTTCCTAACAGAGTTAATCTGTCCTGGTGTTGCAGTTACCAATCATATTGTTACTTCTAGCAAGATAGCTTTTTTGTTTGACCTGGGCTCGCATGGCTGCCTTGACAATAAGCCAGTCCTAGGTTACTTCAGATTCAGAGACTGGTCCTTTGGAATCTGGTTCTTGAAATAAGATTGGAAAGTTGAGGTGATGAAGTGGGAGAATGAAGGTTATGTTAGTTCAAACTAAAAGAGGCATAATAGGTTGGAAGTTAAATGGAGCTATGGTGAGCTTTGCTGAAAAGGACTTATGTAACTGCCCCAGAGCACCTCATGGCCCTGAGTCAGTTTCAGATGACTAAAGAAGAGTACTACTATTCTGTAGATGTCCATATGGTAAATGATTATCTGGTGTCCATGACCACATATGGTGGCTCCTAAATGGCATCTCCATACAAATCATTATCATTTATACGCCATAGTGACCTGTGACAAGTATTCAACATAAATTAGAGTGGAAGTAGCGGCGGCAGTATACTGAGGCAGGCCAGTTGTAGTAGGGGTAAGTTTCATGCTGTGACTATTGTGGAATTGAAGGAGGTTCTCTTCTCCTCCATAATAGCATCCACAAAAATCTTATCCAGCAGAACAGTTTGGTGAATCTGCTGTGCCATCTCCTGGGAAGAGATTCTAAGGTGATTACATTTCCAACTTTCACTGAGAGTTGACCAGCTTGCCACGATAAGCATTGGGGGGGAGGGGGGGGGAGGAGAGACAGAGACAGAGACAGAGTGTGTTCATTCACCCAAGCTAACTTTACAAACTCCTAATCAAGAGGTGAATTGAGCTCATGCACATACAACACTATAGATGGCACTGAAGTTTCCAAAACAAGAGAAAACTGAAGCTCTTTACCCTTGGCTTTGCTAGTTCTTTCACGGTTTCAATTTCTTCATCAGAAATAATTTCAAGGAAGCGAACAATCCGAGGTTTGTCCCATTCATCCTCCTGTTTGACAGGACCCAGAATGTACTTGGGATTCTGGTTTCCATTGTAATAGCGACAGAAGAGCTTCTTCTGTCTCCGAGGCGTCTGAAATCAAGATAGAACAAAAACAAAAGAATCAAGTGCTTGCTCACATTAACACCATTACAGCACACACACACACACACACACACACACACACACACACACTACTTTTTAAAATTTTTATAATAAAAAATTACAGTGACAGAAATGCATCTAATGTGACGCAACTGGTGAGGGTGTGTGCGTGTGTGTATATATATTTTTATATATATTTATATTTATATATTTATTTATATTTATATTTATATATATATATATATATATATATATATATATATATTA